GGTCCTTCTCATGTAAAAGAATTTGCAATTTGCACATTTTACTAAACTGTGGCATGATCATTTACGTGTATACACAATTACCGACTCTCAAAACACATGCAGTATCATAGCAGTAAAAGTCGAGCAAGTATGACAATTATCAGTGGCAAATACTAGCTATACAGAGCGGTTATTTAAAGAACTGCACAAGATATTTTTCCACACACATAGGGTGCTGAATATTGATGAAAAAGGCACGTTGATGACCCCACCAGTGTAATAAAGCGAATCGCCTAGCATTGAGTACGTCGGACATCATACTAGCAAAATATTCAAGCCTGTCCTCTTGTTCCGAGACATGAATCTGAAATGGCAATGGTTAAGTATGACTCGAAAGATATCTCATGATTTTACATCTGTGAGATGTACCTCAACATTCATCTGGCATATCACTATGCCACTTTCCTTCAGTAAATCACCGACTGCTATCACAGGCAGCAGATCAAATTCCAGTCCTTCGTTATTTATGAACAAAAGATCAATAACGGTCTGATTAACCATATCTCTGAGAAACGTCAGTATATCTATACTGACAACGTCCGTTTCTTCTTGAGTGCCTAAGATGCAATTCATTTCTTTGTAAGTAGGAACGCCATATGGATGTAATGTCGAATTTAACCATGTCCTTCCTCTTTCTCTTCTGGTTTTGAAATACCACGAAGTTGATTTTGGTGCGCAGTGGAAAACATGAAGAATAGATAGCGCCTAACTTCGATTTAGAAGCTTTCACAAACCATTGTAGTGGTGCGGATATTTCCAAGAGTGCAAGAAAATTTACGCCATTTCTTTCATTTGTGAAGAATTTTTTCGGCGGTCTTTTTGATAGAATTTTGTCATCGTTTTGCCATACACTTAGTGAATGAGCTACTTCTATTCTACTAATTCTTAATCTGCCTATCAGGTTGTTATTAGGGTGGGTTCATATAATCCGTTAGTTCCGTAACAGTTCCAACACAGCGCTTGTACAGCATAGCTGTGCTGGAACTGTTCCCGAACTTAC